TGTGTGGAGTTTGTTCAACTTTTAAAAGATGTTTGAATGGTGATATACACAGTGATAGATGTTAAGGACTAACGTTTATAATAAATACATTTGTATTGATTTTAAGATATTTTCATAATTCATACAATCATACGTATTGGGATCATTTGTATTAATGTGGACCGGAGGGAGAGGGTGACGAGCATAAGTTTCACTTTCCTTTTTTATTTCACTTCCAACTTTGGTCATGAAGAATATGTTTCTCTGTTGTTCATAAAGCATAACACAACAGCATCAGAGCACGGTGCAGAGTCTCTAGATGAGTTTACAGTAGTCCCTCCTTCTTATTATACATCCATGTTGTAGTCCGCTATAGAAAACAGTAGTTTCCATAGTTTCGCCACAGCAGCAGACGCACACAATGACGTCCGCTGGCGCATCATAAACACGTCGGATAGTGAAAGTGCATTCGGATTCTCTAAAGTACCGCAGTCTCTTCTCCCAAGTCCTTTTGAATTCTCCTATCCACTATCCCTTAACCCCGTGACGTTTCACTCAGAGGTCAAGGAATAGGAGATAGGGTTAGAACTTAGGAGCTGATTTTTGGATTATCGGAACGCAACCAAAGACTCCCAGCATACTGCTCTCACTATGTTGCACACTGCAAATCTATCATCCACCTTCCTTAAAAAGGATTCAATATAATACCAGGCTTTATTGTCCATGTTTCATTAAGTAGCTACCGAACTGATCACTACTACATTTGAGTCTGGTGATTCCAAGCCACAGTTCAACATTTGAATAAATACCTTTATTAAAGCAAGATAAAACGCTCAGTATAGATCTGATGCATGTGTGGCGTCTGATCGAGGAAGGATTCTTTCAAACATCAAGTGCTATCGCATGCTGATTGGAAGTGTAGTTTCATAAACACTAACAATCATTACTCATGCTTTTTCTCAAAAATGTTTTATTATTCCTAAATAGCAATTATTACTGTTAAGAATAAAATAAACCATAAATAGTTCAAAGACTGTTTGAATAAATCAGAGTTAAAGCTGTTGGTCTTTCATTCTTTTTGAACTTGTTGTAGTAAAGGATGTGTTAAAGGAAATAAGTCATTACTCACCAGTCGCTTTGCAAACTCTTTGTTTTCAGACAGAAACCCGTAGCCAGGATGAACCTTTACAGAGGGAAACATTTCAAACACAAATCTATAGCTGTGAGCATACTGTATAAAGCCAAGGATGTTTTCAATAAATCCTCTCAGCAGATTGATGATGCAACCATATGATCTGTTTATTTTGTCAATGAGCATGCTCATCAAGTACAGAACACTTATCGCACGTCTCCTATGGCTGTCATATAGTGTCATATTAAGCGTGATTGAAAAGCTTACAGCTTGTGCTCCAGTCGCTCTGACGGCCTCCATGATAGCGTCCATGTTGAGGTAGCTCTTGTTGGTGGGGGCGGGGCCAACACACAACGCTTCATCAGCCATCTTTACATGAACCTAGATACAGTACAACATGCACAGGGAAGGTGAAGACAGTTGTTTGTTTGCATCAGGACATGCAACAGTTTTCAGTAAGACAAAAAATTCATAGGAAATACAATATTAACATTTCCTCATATTCCACCCTGATTCCTAACAGTGGATGAACAGAGGGAGACTCACAGCACTGGAGTCCACGTCGCTGTGGACAGCTACAGTCTGGATGCCCATCTTGCGACATGTCTTGATCACCTGATGAGAAAACACACAACATTAACGCTCATGTTTCACTCTATAGTCAATGTGATAGCATACAATGCTGTCGATTATATGTATAGGTACTGGCTGCAATGTGTTAACATGGAAATAAACTATTAACAAAGTTTGTGGTCAAAGATATTCCCTTTACTATCAGCAGCCAAACCATTTAAATGGTGAAATTCTGCATATCTTAATAACAAACCAAGGTATTTCTTTATTGTGATATACATTTTATATATTGTAGTGCAATGTGCACAATATGTGACAATTATTTTACTTTTTGGACATTTTCATTTACTTAAATGTTTATAAGATTATCTTTATTTAATTGCATATCTGTATTGCAAGTTCTTACCTTACATTTTGATGTTTAAATAAATATGTTCCTCTATTATTTTGGAGTGGTGCCAGGTCAGGCTTTAGTAAGACTTTGTTATGTTAATGTACAGTAACTCTGTGTTTCTTACCCTGCAAGCAATCTCTCCTCTGTTGGCAATGAGGATCTTATCGAAGGTCTGAGGAAGGAAACAGATAGGACTTTCTTCACTTTCTTTACCTGTCTCAGACATATATGTCAAACACAACACATCTTGCTTCTCAATATCAAATGTGGACAGTCTCTTCAGTGTTAAGCTGCTGATGAGAGAACAGATGTTTACCTTCTCACTGGGACTGGAGACGGTGGAGTAGTGAGCGTAGCAGTGTCCTGCACAGCATCTGGACTGGAATGAGGAATACTACAAAACAAAAAGATACACCATATTCAGCGACTTTTACACGTTTTCATTATTATATACAATTAGGTTTACTTTTAACTTAAGTACAGGACTGTCTCAGAAAATTAGAATATTGTGATAAAGTTCTTTATTTTCTGTAATGCAATTAAAAAAACAAAAATGTCATACATTCTGGATTCATTACAAATCAACTGAAATATTGCAAGCCTTTTATTATTTTAATATTGCTGATTATGGCATACAGCTTAAGAAAACTCAAAAATCCTATCTCAAAAAATTAGAATAGTTCCTCAGACCAAGTAAAAAAAAAAGATTTATAACCGCAAAACACAATCAAACATTTGAAAATGTCCATTAATGCACTCAGTACTTGGTTGGGAATCCTTTTGCACGGATTACTGCATCAATGCGGCGTGGCATGGAGGCAATCAGCCTGTGGCATTGCTGAGGTGTTATGGATGCCCAGGATGCTTCAATAGCGGCCTTTAGCTCATTAGCATTGTTGGGTCTGGTGTCTTTCAGCTTCTTCTTCACAATACCCCACATATTCTCTATGGGGTTCAGGTCAGGGGAATTTGCAGGCCAATCGAGGACAGTAATGCCATGGTCAGTACACCAGTTACTGGTGGTTTTGGCACTGTGGGCAGGTGCCAGATCATGCTG